AAAAATGCTAATATAAAAAATGGTTTCAATACTGTAATATAATACAAAATATGAGGGAATATAAAATATAAAGGAAAATAAAACAAATTCCACCTGCAAAACACTTTCAAAACCTTCGTGGCTGGTATGAGAGGCAGAGAAGGGAGGAGGTTACTCGTGGGGCGACTTTTCCATCATAGCAGGATGTTGACTACAGTCGGTATTAATAAACTCTTGTCTTATACTGTATTTGGAGTGTGGCAGCCATAAACAGCGGAAGGGAAGGGTCTCTATCTGCAGGCAGCCCGACCTGGAGCACAGCATTCTAGAGCTCTAACTCTTGGATGGAAAAAGCAAAGGAATGTCCATGGGTGCCTCAAAAGTGACAAAAAATACATTAATGCCGGTTTTTTGGCTAACATTCTGGAGAAAATGCACTTTCTGGGAACACTGTGTGAACTGGGACAAAGCATCCAGGCATGGGAGATGATCTTACAATCCCACAGAGAGAGAGACAGACAGAGAGACAGAGAGAGAGAGACAGAGAGAAGAGAAACCATTGGCTCCGGGTTGTGATCATGTGGCGTTCAGAGTCACATACTGCACAAATATTGCAAGACATGGCTTTCGTTTAATAGAAGTTAAATTTATTAGCCATGTTTGCTTGTCTTGTGGAACACTCACTGTAAAGTTACTTGCAATCAGGTTTTACTGTACATGCACTCTGCTTTCTACAGAGTAACATCTAGAAACTCTGCCCATCTCCTGGTGAAGGGCACCAATCACTAATGTAGGCACCTAAGACTGCCCGAGAAGTTGAATAATGAGAAACACATTTGAACAGCCTGTTTCTCCTACAGAGAAATTAAAAACCTGTCAGTTACCCGCCACCTGCATCTTAGATGCAGTGGAGGCTTGTATTATCTCTGGGAACTGTGATGTTGGCTTGGGAAAAAGGAGGGAAGAGTGAAAACTTGGCCCTGTCTTGTCAGAAGAAAAGAGTGCAGACCAATAAATCTGTGGGAGTAAGATGCAGAAAAGATAAATCCAACTCGAGGGTCAGGAATAGGACTGCTTCCTTTCTAATAATGTCATGATGAGTGGAAAAGAATACCTAAATGTTCGTGACGAAACGGATAAAGAGAAGATGTGGTTTCTGTATGCAATGGAATTTACTTCGGTGATGAGGAAAGAATGAAATCACGCAGCAGCAACGTGGATGGAACTGGGAGAATTATTAAGCTGGAGTAAAATAAGTCAGTCAAGAGGGAAAGATACTGTGTGTTTTTCACTCATGTGTGAACCAGAAACTAACAGAAGACCATGGGGGAAGGAAGGAGGGAAAAATAGTTACAAGCAGAGAGAGAGCCATATAGAACTCACCCAGACCACAGAGAACAAGCTTTTAGAGGTGATGGCAGGGAAACCCAGGAGGGGAGAATGGGTGATGGGCATTGAGGAGGGCACTTGTTGGGATGAGCTTTAACAATGTTCTCTGTATTCAAGAGTCTCTTATGGTTTGCCTCCCTCTCTCGCTGTAACTATTTTTCCCTCCTTCCCTTCCCCCATGGTCTTCTGTTAAGTTTCTCAAGTTCCACACATGAGTGAAAACACACAGTATCTTCCTCTGACTGACTTATTTCACTCAGCCTAATACCCTCCAGTTCCATCCACGTTGCTGCAAATGGCAGGATTTCATTCTTTCTCATCACCGAGTAATATTCCATTGTATATAGAAACCACATCTTCTTTATCCGTTCGTCAGTTGATGGACATTTAGGCTCTTTCCTTAATTTGGCTATTGTTGAAAGCGCGAAGCAGTCCCATCTCTGACCCTTGAGTTGACTTATCTTTTTCTGCATCTTACTCCCACAGATGGCTGGTCTGCACTCTTCTGACAAGACAGGGCCAAAGTTTTCAATTCCTTCCCCTCCTTTTTCCAAGCCAACATCAGCAGTTCCAGAGATAACACAGCCTCCATCGTACGAAGATGCAGTAAAGCAGGTAACTACAGGTTTTGTTCTCTGTAGAGAAACAGGTTGCCTAAATGGGCATTGTTTCTCATTATTCAACTTCGGGCAGTCTTAGGTGCCGACATTGAGTGCATTGGTGCCCCCCCTACCAGGATGGGCAGAGTTTCTAGATGCTACTTGTAGAAAGGTAGTGCATGTACAGTAAAACCTTGGATTGCAAGTAACTTGCTGTGCGAGTGTTCCACAAGACAAGCAAACATGGCTAATAAATTTTAACTTGATAAACGAGCCATGTCTTGCAATACGAGTAGTATGTGACCCTGAACGTCACATGATCACAACTGAGCCAATGGTTCTCTCTCTCTCT